TTATCCATGCGAAGTGGTAAATTGGTTGAACATCAGCGGCAACATGCACATTCGAACAAAAGAGAAGTAAGTGAATTGTGGGTATGCGCCAGTTCATCTTGCTGAGGTAGAAAGGGACAATTTCCTTCTCACTGTTCACTCCACATTCAATTCCATAAACATTAATTAACAAGTCATTCTTTTTCTCAAATTTTGGAATATCACTCAAGATGATGGGGAAGCGAATGTTTGCATAATCAAGTAGCTTTTGACTGTGTTGAAGAGTTGCGGTGGTATGGTCAGGATATGATGAAGGAGCAGTTCGATTACTTTTTGCTGGATAGAGAGCAGCAATAACTAATCACAAAAAACAAAATTCATCCGAATTTTTGACATTGACAACAGCTTTTTTACATTGAATATCATAGGGCAGCTCGACATACGTTGAAGAGCCACCCTACAGCGGAATATATCGGTTCATATTGACTAACAAATTTATAATTTCACTCAGGTCCCATACCGAGTCACGTTCTTGGAAATCATCGATTTTTGTAAGCAATGGTTCACTCACATTCTCATCAAACCATGTTGCTAGATGTGTAGCTGGAAGAATGATTTCATTTTTTGTATTGAAATATTCAACTTCCCTAGAAATCATTTCGTCCTTTTTCAATGTAAATTTGCAAGCTAAAATAGTACTTGCCTTTATATTGCCGTTTCTTTCGCGAACACTTCTCAAATGTGCTGTTGACAGTTGTTTTGCATCATTGAGAAAGGAAGCTGGATCCTTATGTTGGAGATTGATTACAATGCCCGTGCGAATACGACTGTGAAAAGTTGATGGTGCATCTCTCCAGCGTACACGAACTGTAAGCGCTTCTTCTTCTTTTTTTTTTTTTAAAGAGTTTATTAATTTAGTCATACATGGAGCATAGTAATTGAGCGAGTGTTAATAAACTCAGCCAAAGAACACTCGGACGGAAGAAGGAAATGTTTGGAAATAAATGGCTGTAGGACAGCAACTCATAAATCTAATTTATGTGAGCACAGTATGCTACTGCTGGTATTACATGGTTTTTAATGGTGTTGGAGGCAAAGGCCCTGAGGGGCATGTTGACGGCCACTAAGTCGCCTGAGAGGCGTGCTACGGTTAGGCTAAAAAGGAAGACCAATTGAAAAAATCCCTGTCGAACGAGATCATTAACTTAAAGTTAAACTAGCTCTAAATATTTACATATGTACAGTTGAGAGAAAGTCCATAGGGGACGTGTGTCTGTGCAGATGTTATCGGAGCTTGGTCTCTGAAAGAAATATAATGTCCAGATTATTGCTTTCGATAAATTTCATTAAGGAGAATCGGCGTTGTTGGGTCACTATGGAGTTGACGTTGATTGCTGCCATTTTTAGAGATGCCAAGGTTCTTGTTTTGTCCTGTTGAGGAGGTGTTTCTTCGGGTGCTATGGTAGGAGGGTTCTCCATTATATTTCTTCCAGGTTGTATCCCATCATATCAATGATGGATTTAATCTTGGCGGTATTTAGGGCTACCTGGTTGCTGATGTCTCGTATTTTTGGGGAGAGCTTCTATGAGTTCTTTTTTGAGGTTTTCAAACCAGGGAGGAGTGTCCTGGTTTGTGGCATCTGTAAAGCGCACGTGCTGTGGAGGGGTTTCGGGCCATCTTGCATCTGGGGAGGATGGAAGGGGTCTATTCGATGGTTGGTGTGTGCCACGAGTAGCTGCTGCGAATGAAACTGCGGGGCTTACTTGTCTGCTGATGGCTTTGATGTGTGTGTTGGTGGGGGCTTGAACAGCATGTGCACGTTTTTTCACCAGGTTTATTGCGTTTTTGTAGTATGGGCAGCCGCGGTAGTTAGCCGGGTGTCCTGATTGGCCGCAATTGGCACATTTTAGCTGGTCTTTACCTGCATTAATGTCAAGGGGGCATTTCCCAGGATCATGCGATTCTGCACATTTAACACATCGAAAAGGCAGGCTGCAGTTCGAGCTGGCATGGCCAAGTCTCTGGCATTTTTTGCACTGAAAGATCTTTTGCTTTCTGAGGTGTTCCCAGTGTGCACGTTGATGAAGTAGGGTTTTTACTTTGGTGAGTTGGGTAAGCTGGCTTTCATGCGATATTTGGATGATGAAGTTGTGGTTTGGCTTCCTCTTATTGAAGATTACTCTGGTTACCTTGACGATGATCACATTCTCTAGCTCCAGCCCTCGTAGCTCTGTTGCGACGTCATCTGCAGTGAAGTCTCCCATGATTCCCTTCAAAACGATGGACTTAGGTCTTATAGACTTGGGAGTGTATGTGTAGTATTGGCACTTCGCCCGCTTTAATGCTTCAATAATGGCTGTGAAGTTTTCGATAGTGAAAGTTAAGATAGCCACTTCTCCTGGTTCGTTGGTCTGTCTTACTTGGAATGATCCTTTCGGAAACTTATTATCCAGCAAGAGTGAGATAATGGTATTAAGTTTCACGTTCACAACATTTATTGGGGGAGGTTTTGACGCTTTGGGGGCTGTTCTTGTCACGGATCGTTGGGCGGGCTCTTGGGAAGTTGGCATTTCGGAGCAGTCTTCGTTGGTGAGGTCCATCTCTAGGCTGGAGAAGCTGTTGTCATGGGGGGGGATTTCCTCCGCTTGACGAGCACTGTCGTCTGCAATTTTAGCCTTGGTAGCTTTCCTTCGTGAAGGAAACACCCATGGAGCTCGAGTATGGTCACCTGCATTGGGTGTGTCGTCTGTGCCAGTGGCCGCAAGCATTGAGATATCTGAGAGTGACCTGTTGGACCTGCTGTTTTTCAGGTTTGGAGCCACGTTGAGGTTAGGGCGTTGTGCTCCGTATTCTTTCTGGAATTCTCGGAAGCTGTGAGCGAATTCACGAGTTGATAAAGTGTTTGGGTTTGTCTTCTGTTGCTTTACAGCAGTTTTGCTCCTATTATCAATTGCGGATTTCCGCTTGACTTGAGTGTTGAGTGTCTGTGGGGATACCACGTTTCGTCCTTTGCTAGGTATCATAATTGGTAAATGAGACACATGGTGTGCCTTACTACTCACCGGGGTCAACTGCTTCCTCTTGGTGGAGGATTGGCTAATTGGGTTATTGCACGGGCTGGGATTAATTATATGAAAATACAAAAAACTATACTGATTGAGGTTATCTGTTGTGTCTGTATCGGCTGTTCAGTCGGTACTCCGCGCTTCTTCTTCTCTGCTATGCGATGGCACCTGCGCACGGTCACCTCGATGTTGTCTATTTGTGAATCTCTCTAGAGAACCCTGAATCCTAGAGATTGTAGAGAGAATTTTATTTTTCCTACCAACCTATAGATGATTTCGACTCTCAAAACTCGAGTATAAAATTTAATATAGTAAGCACATCGATCAATCCATTGTTGGATATCTTGAGAGTGTGCATTCTGATAGGCATGTTGGATAATTTCAATTATTCTGGAACAGCGCACGTTGCTGCTACGTTCCATCTTCAATTAAGACTAACAACCGCCAGGAAAATTGAGATCAATTCATATTATTGCTTGTTAGAGTTTCAATGAGTCATAAAGTTTCAGTTGGATCGATTCATTGCCATTTCTTCCCCAATTTCTCAGAATTATGACGACTGTTTAGTTTCCGCGAAAAATTTTACCGTTTGATCGATTTATTAACATTTCTTCATGAATTTTCTAGGATGTATGAAAACCGTTGAGTTACTGCGAAAAATTTGACGTTTGGATGAAGATTGTCGAATTTTCTTTGAATTGTTTTTACGTTAAAATTATGAGTAATCATTGCATACCCCCTCCATATGCGACAAGCCTATAAGTAGCTGGAGTCAATCAACTCATTCATCATTCAGTCTCCAACTTATAAGCGGAGTCACACGAAATTTGCAAAGACGAAGTGAATCGAGATGAGAACTTCCTGCTAACCAAACGTCGAACGGAGCTGCCACTCAACCGTAAGTATTTAGTCACCGATCTTAAGGTGATCTCAACCAAATTTGATGCTAAAGTGGTTGTCGCTCCGAATGATGAGCGCATCGTGCATCTACCACCACGATTGTCCAACGCCTTCCAACAGGATCCATCCAAACTGGAGAACTACCGTGAGTGTTCTGCTGCTAAACGTTTGGAGAACACCTTCCTTGAGGTTCAACCCGTGCTTCTTCAGCCACATCGATAGTCAATAAAAATGGAATATATCCTGCCACTCTGTAACAAGGATAGTGGCTACAATAAATTATAAGCAACCAACAATTTTGTTTCTTCAATATATTTTCAAAACTTATCACCCTAAATACAAATCATAAAACGTTGTATAAAAACTTATTTTCAATACATAATCTTATGCTACTTATAATACAAATGAAAAATAGATGGTCTGGATATGGTTGCACCTGAAACAGAAAATAGATATTATAAATTAGAGTAGTAAAAAAGATGTTGAAGAGAAGGAGGAAAAATGCATATTACTTACTTCACTTGCCGTAGTGATGCTCAGCATCCAGAAGCATCACGGCAGTCTGCGCGCGAGGCAATGACTCCAGGGCCTCCATTGCGCGCCCCACCAGCCTCAGGAAGTTTAAAAACTTCCTCATTTTTTGGTGGAACTGCGATTCCTATTAACAGAAAATTGATACTAAGTTAGATACAGAAAGAGAAGGAAAAAATTTAACCTAAATTTAATTAACTTACTTTATAAGCATTAAAATTGCCTCCAAGGTACGCCATGAACGTAATTATTAAGTCCATGGGTATCTGCAAACGTCCATCTAAGCTCCAGTACCTTGTAAGATACTCCCCAACCCTGTCAAACTTCCTCAACCACCACTCCTCCATCCTCCCGTCATCTACCTCCCACTCCTGCCTCATCTCGGGGTCCGGAAAAATATCTACTTCAAGTTTCACTAAAACATAAAAACATTCATTAATTATTAAAATACACTGATGACACTATGAAATTCGCTAAAAATGTTCACGTTTCACGACACTTACTTGTTGCTTTGATTTCGTTAGATGTACTCACGAAGCGAGGTTGCAAGACAACATTGAGCCAGTCACCACATGAACCCACTCTTCTGCTATCTCTCTCCCTCATGTCTCTGAAGCTCCAAAAGTTGTCAGTCTCACTCTAGGTGTCTGGCGTGGAACCTCTAAATGTTTACATCTGGAGGATGGCGAAGAATGGAGCATTGACAGAGATTTCAAAGGGAGAAAATATTCTTTATTCAATATATATATAAATAAAGAATAAATATTACAGAGTTTTCAAAGCATAGATGATTACATAGTACTTTTCAATTCATTGAGTTGACGGTTTTAATATGATAAATTGAAAAAATAAAAAATAATGGAGCGCAAATAATAACATATTTTATACTCTAATTATTAGATGGGAGAAGCCACTTTTTCAAAATAATTTTACCCTCGGAAATTACAACTGAAACAGATCAAAAATTAAAGAAATTAATAATTGCGTTCGCCAATGGATAAGATGGTCAAATTTTGTTATTAATTTATCTCTGGATAGATTTTAATATTGGTTGACAATCGCTTGGGATGATTGAATGATCCCATTAGTCGAAAGAAAATATTTCTATGAGGACAGAAGATCAGCTTGGCTCGAACATTTCCCATTGTGACAAAAGTTCCACCGACTTTATAAGGAAGATTGTTGGTTTCTCTCAGCTTCTTCTTCATGGCCCTTTCTGACATCACACCTTCCCATTCTTCAGGTACGAAAATTCGAACAGGTTCAATATTATCAGCCAAATCATCATCATCATTAGCTGGTGAACACACAGCTTCTCGCACTCTAACGAATGTCTCTATACCCTCCGCTGAATCATGTGATGCAATCTCAGCATTCACAGCTCTTGTCATTACCTCTGGGATGATGGATATTGCTTGACTCTCGAGACGGGAAGTAGGTGGATCAATGTCCATTGAGCTTACTGATGAGTATAGAGGACCACCCAAGCCTTTCTCCTCAGGTGTTGGACTCTCTAGAGACTCGGGGTCTGGGCTTGCGGGATAGTCTACAATCCTCTTCTCCACAGCTGCTGGACTCTCTGGAGATTCGAGTTCCGGGCTTGCTGGAGAGTCTACAATCCCCTTCGCCACAGTTGCTGGACTCTCTAGAGACTCGAGGTCCGGCCTTGCTGGAGAGTCTACAATTCCCTTCTCCACAGCTGCTGGACATCTAGCGAATCATCCACGTTTTCAATGATGGGGAGCCTCTGATAGGGAGCCTCTGGAAGGTGAGGGTGTTTTGAAGTGTGTCTACCATCACAGTCTATTTGATGGTAGTCCTACCCGGTACCATTGTCCCCTTGAACATGTGCAACGTCTGAAAAAATGGTTCACCAAGTACAACGCAGAGCCTCTAGAAAAATCCTTGAAGAAATATTGCGAGACTCAGCAATTGAATGCACTGACCACTCCGGAAATTACATTCCTGCCGAAGCATTTCATCAAAACCATTACCAAGGACACCGTGGATGCGGCTTGGGACAAGTTGCCTGAGATGATGCAAAGGGATCCTCGTATCGCTAAGCTACGTTATTGTCACACGCATTGGTCTCCAATATCGACCTCATCACTCAATCCAATCCCCTCACCAATAGCTAAATGCCCTCTGTATCTCTATCATCGCTGCTAATACACTCGAAGTCACAGTATATTATTATTGAATAAAAATCACGGATGGATGTATTTGTGTATAATTTCGTTGAGAACCATAGTTGAAACCCCCCCTCCTGTACCACCCCAATAAGATCAACATTTCAGCTCACATATAAACATCTTTGTGAAATCTCATTGGTTGACTCTCGAATTCCATTCATATGAGATATCATTGTCCTTGAATAGTCAAGTTAAAGTTTATTGAAACATGAAATTCTTTCGAAAAATATCTGTCAAAATGTCCGATGATAATCAATTTGAGATGTGGGACGAGTATTATCCATCATTTGAGGCTGTTGCAGCAGCAGGAGACATGAGCACATCGCACCGGCGCCTTTTGGCAAAAGGCTCTTATACCTCTGGAATGGTTCATCCAACTACCGGTGCCTACATTGATTACCCATATAAGTCAAGCTATTCTACAATTCGACGGTCTCACTGCATTCCATCTCTCACTCTTGGGAGTCCGTACAACCCTTGTGAAAAACAACGATTTTTTTATATTCATGCAGGGACGTACAGCTGACGGAAGTGAGTGTGGAACATCTCCAGTTTGCAGCTCATGTGAGCGTGGGACTTCCCTTGAATGTGTGTCATACAATCAGGGGGGAGATTCTGCAGATATCGAGACGCTGGAGGAGATGGAAGTTGCGGTCATTGAAGTACTAGCAGATTTTCTAATGGTAAAGTGTGAGCAGATAAAAAAAATCGGATGAGGATGGGGCCGGAGAGATGATCAAAGAAGAAGCACTAGTCCAGAGGAAGAGATACTACACACCTCTGCTCTGAACAAAAATATTCTAGCTGTCAGAAATCATCCAATCTTCATCTGAAGAACAAAATGGCATCGTTGATTCGCAAGGATCCCAACGACAAGGAAAATTTATTGTCATAGAATTGAGTGCAGTGGCCGTGCAACAGTCACTAGACATTAAAGAATCTCCCCCCATTAACATCCCTTTTCAACCGCCATGTACCTGGAGGGATCTGAAGATGCAGGATGCTGTAACCAACAGATGTCATACTCGCAATCATTATGGAATGTTATGGACTGCTGGTGACTGTGATTACATCAAAATTTACAAAGTTTTTAATAGTTTCCTACAGAATAGCCGTAAAATTTATGTGATAGGTGCAGAGAAACAGCACTATGTGGAACAACTGCTTGGTGATTCCTACCATGTTGTAAATTTCGAAGATTACAATTTTCAAAAGATCGACAATTGCTTCCTCACAGAAACTGCCCATCGGCACACTCATCGACAAATCAAGGCAGCGGAAGAGTTACTTTCCTGTGCTTTAGTGAATGCGCGTCACTTCAAACATTGGTTCCAGACCACTCATCAAACGTGTGAAAATAATGAAAATGATTTTAATGAACTTTTTAATTAGAAAATCAAACATTTTTTTTTTAATTCAATTGTTTTCTGATATTCAGTTTTTCGATATACCTCATGAAATGTAAAAATATATTTACACACATTCCAAAATTTCCCCATCTTCATTTTTGGAAGCTCTTCACCATCATTCAATAACAAAGTTATTATACTTCTGATGTTGTATCGTATCATCTTTTTGATCCATGGAATAGTTATTCACGCCACTTCTAGTCCACGCTTCCAAGAGGCCGAGTGTTTTTGTTTATATGACGCGTACGTGCTCATGATTAGTTTCTATTCATGATGATTTTGAAGACGACATTTTAAAATCATGAATTAATTTGTTGTTGTTGTAATTATGATTATTGAGGTGGCATAAAAAAAAAAATTCACCGGCCATAGAACGTGTGAAAATGTTTGTCAGCTATGAATTATTAGATACTAGACATCAGAAATGAAATATTAGATAGTAGACATCACATCATCAGATATGATATGGTGGATATTCAACGTCAGATATCAAATGGTAGATAGCCTCCCCCCCCCCCCCCCCCCCGATTCTGGCCCAAGATGTAGCCTCGAACACTACCACCGTGGGCCGATAAAGAAGATTCCCCCATACATTATCAGGGCCTAGCAGAGTCCAGCATTGCCCCTCCCCCGCAAGATCAGCATCCTCCCCCCCGCCGCCCCGCACCTCCCCGCACCGACACACAGATCCCTATATCTACAACCGGCCTTATTAATTTACTTATCGGTAAGCAACGACATTATCTACATATAAAGTAAAATTTCATCATAATTCAATCAAATATTTATGGATTAAGGCCACGTATATACGTCGGAATGCGAATCACTGCGGTGCAGCATTGGCACTTCGCGCACTCAACAGTTACGACACCTGGGACGTCACCCGATGTCTCTCCAGGTGTAAAACAAAGAGACAACACTTGTTGCAATCGACTCCAGCATGAAATAGGAACTGGTGAATTAGTTTGCACTGAGTCAGTTAGTCAGTTTGTCACACACAGTCAATTACTAATGCGACGATTTGTTTAGTCTCCTTCTGGTAATTTACAACGCCTGATACCTACTGTATCAGACAAAGTCTGTATTTATATTAATAAATTGTATAATTGCTAACTGGGTTGATTCTCCCGGAGAGATATTCATTTTTAATTATCTACGGGTGATCTATTCCTTTCAACGAATTCGTCCCCTCCGGTTCATTACATTTATGCTGGCAGCTCAATTTTGCGAAGACGCAGACCTGATCAATCCCTGTCCATTACTGCACGACAGGAAGGAAATCATATCCGGAGAATTAAATTACCTAAATCTACACTTGCTGTCATCGCAACCACTTTTTAGCTTCGAGGGAGGGAGAAAATTATCTTAAAGTAAATCAGCCAAAGATTATTTTGAGGATTTTTCACAAACCTAACCGAGTACTTCAGTGCATTAAAGGGGCTAGTACAAAAAGCTGAAGAAACCTACTCTATTACTTCAGTCTATCAAAAGGTACAGCCGGCCTATCCTGAGAGAGAAGGTTAAAGTCAAAGAGTAGCTACTAATCAAGTAAGATTATTTTATTTGGCCAAGAGTAAATAATCAACGATGTCGACTAATAGAGATGGTCGTCGACCAGAACAATCTGAATTTGATTCATATTCATTCGCAACACGTGGAGTGAGAAGAAATTTATTGAATTCAGATGGGAACATTAACATAAATGTTAATCCGTAACGGAGTTATAAGCAATCACTCCATCACAGTATACTAGCCGCTGATAATCCGCAGCAGGTTGAGGCTAACGTCCATTAGGGCAATGACGCCGTTTTGCCACATCAACTACCCGGAGCTAGGTGAGATAATAGTACGCAAAGGAGAGAATTGAACGCTCTCCCTGATAATAACCAAGGAACTGGACAACCTCCACTAGCGGATCCTTTACAAGAGGTACCTGGAAATCTCTTTGATTTGATCGAGGAAATTCAGGAGGGGGAAGATGAAGAAGAAGTAGACGTTTTCTACGCTCCATTTCTTTTTTCCAGCAGGATCAATTAGGACAGGGGGTTT